CAAAATCCATCTGTAAACAGCCGAGAAATGCTTGATATTGATGATTTTTAGCACAAAAATGGCCGCCATTCGACCATCTTGAATCAGATCGTAAAACAAAATGATGTGCATCAAGATCTTATAATGTCTAATGTATATATCAAGTTTGAACAAAATCCATCTGTAAACAGCTGAGAAATGCTTGATATTGATGATTTTTAGCACAAAAATGGCCGCCATTCGGCCATCTTGAATCAGATCATGAAACAAATTGACGTGCATATGCATAATATCATGTATGATGTATGTGTGAAGTTTGATCGTGATTGGTCCAGGCATTTCTAAGATACAGGTCTGGACGCACGCACAGACGCACGGACGGACACACGGAGGTCAAAACATAAGTCCCCGTTTGTGGACTGTATCAGAACGGGGACTAATAAGAATGTTTTATGATTTTTTTTTTTTTAATATTTGTTTTATCAGGAATTATTATAAAACCTTCTAATTATTCAATATTTATGTGCTGTGCTTACATCATTGACCTCAAAAAATGTAATTAGGCATATTTTTAAAATTTAAATCAAAAGAGTTTATGCATTATTCAACATTTACTTCAAAATGTAACATATAATCTAGATCTTATTTTTGCCATAGAGGGCGTACTTTATTTAAACTTGAAAATGTTAATAAAAAGAGGTCATGCTGTAACTTTGTGCATTAAAAAATTTAAAATTATAAAATTTGTATAAAATTTATGCCACAGCTCATTTTCACCATAGAGGGCGTACTTTATTTAAACTTTACCCACAGATAAGATATACTTACACTTTGCTACTCAATGCTAGTGCAATCTCAAATCTTTCTAATAGTTGTAAATACTGCGGCAGCATGTGTTTGGGGTACTCATTGTCATGAAATAACCACTTCATCTTCTGAATACTAATCTTGCCGGCATCAACGTAGTTGTGAACGGCTCGGACAGCGATTACCCTTGTCAGAAATTTACACAACCAGGAAGGGTCAATGAAATAGAGGGTATTCAGTCCTCGCATCTGATCGTTGAAATGGAGAATAACTCCAGTTTCATTCAGAAAGCTGGCAGCTGAAATGGGAAGAGAAATTTATTAACAATTTTTGACATGGCGTAATGACTGAGATGAATTAAACCTTCTTATCCTCAAAATAGCTTCTTGTCTGAAACAATATCTGTATTTATTTATTTATTTATTTATTTATTTATTTATTTATTTATTTATTTATTTATTTATTTATTTATTTATTTATTTATTTATTTATTTATTTATTTATTTATTTATTTATTTATTTATTTATTTATTTATTTATTCATTCATTCATTCATTCATTCATTCATTCATTCATTCATTCATTTATTTATTATTTATAAATTGCAACCCTTTTGAATCAGGGGCTCACCAATAGAAGTAAAAGTATAGAAATAAATCAAATAGGAGCGGAAAATGTCTGAATGTACAAATAACACAAAGTATATGGTTTTCTTAGTTCAAATGTATAAATGCTATTTTTTTTTCTACAAAATTCAACATTGTAGCCCTAGATGATGTCCCCCAAGAGAAAAAAAATAACAGTTCACTGACCTGTGAAACGTCTTTCGATATGATTATTTCAGAATTTGATAATATGTGAGTATGTACAAGGACAATAATTTATGTAAGTCGCAGTCACAGTTTTATTAAAAAAAGATGCACTTGAAATATACAAAATTTTGCAATTTTTCTTGACATGTCAGATTTTATTGTCACGCAAGAAATGTACAATACCTAGCTGAAGATCCTCTGCAGTGTCAATATCACATTCTGGTATCCGATTGGCTAAGGCTTCAAATGTTTCCTGAGTCAAGACAGGAGGGTCGGGTGGATTCTTGGATGCCAGAGTCTTGACTTCCTTCACAACTTCATCCTGGAGCAGTATATAGCTTCTTGGTACCTGTAATAAAGATTATTGTAAAATCATCCTCACTTCTGTCATTAAAAGGCGACAGTTGTTGTGCTGCGTCTTGTTCGATATGGGACTCATAGCAATGTATACAACACCAGTGTAAAATACATTGTTTATTTACATGAAATTCGAACACGCGACGACCACCATGCTTTAAATTTGCACAAACACACTTCACAATAATATAAGTAACGGATGAATATTTGAAAACTCTGTATTTTTTTATTTTTAAGCTGCAGCTTCACAAAGCACATTGTAAATAGACATGATGATAAAATTGCATTTATTGCATGCAAAATCATTGAAATGTATCTTATTTTGACCATAGATTTGCCTTTGTCATTTACATTTAACCCTTTGAGTGTAAAAGTCAATTTCAGTCACTGTTAAGACTATATGTCTTATGTTGATCATACTTTCATTACAATGGCTTCACCATGTGCCAGATATCACTAGTTTTTATTAAAACTATAGGGATACCAGTAATACAAAAATGACAATTTCCACTGAATTGAGTTGGATGACTTTTGCTCGTACCATATTTGCTCTATTAGAAGTGCATTTTATGTGTCACTGCAGAATCTATGTCTGACCATGGAGGTAAAAAACATACCTCCATGATCTGACCAAAACAGATATAATAGATACTCGATTTGATGAAAATAACAAATTAATGTTTGACAAATTATCATCGAATCATGCCTAGGTCTTGTGCTAACTAAAAATATTGTCAACTGAGGTGAGGTCTATTATATTTCAGCAACCTCACATCTACAGGTTTGCCTACAATGTTGTATCACTGATAGCAATCAAGCCTAATGTATAGAAATTCATTACTACCGTACTCAACCGGGTCAGCGCCCAGGGTCCTCAACTCAGAAAATCATGATTTTTTTAGAGGTGAGCGCTTACCCGAGCACCCCCTTGGGAAAAAAGTGCAAATGATACGGTAATTTTAATTCACCATGTGACAGATTTGGGGGAGTATTATGTCCTTAATGCGCTCGAATATGGTAACTTAGTTTTAACATTCGAAACATTATAACGATTGTAATCCTTTGATGTTGAACTCAACTTGTCACCTTTTCACAAAATAATAAAGTGTAATTTTTTTGTACACAAAAAATAACAAAATAATGATTTTTGTAGAAATAGTGATGACATTCAATGGGTTAAAAAAATGAAAAAAAAACCCAGGTAGACAGTTTGAAGTGAGAGAAAAACTCATACAAGTTGGATATGGATGTAAAATAACCCAACCTTACCTTTCGACCAATTATGTTCTCCCCACTACTGATTGTCACTGATATAGCTCTCTGATATATATCTTTCTTCAGATCATCAATATTTACCATTGTCGTACAGGACACATAGTGAACACTTATAATTTGAGGGAACCCTTTGCTTTTCTTAGTAATGTATTGTTTCAGAATTTTTGAATTAATGTTTTCGAGATCCTTTCGTTTTTGCAAGGATAATGCATCAAGGTGTGTGCCAACGAGGATGACCATAGAATCTGGAGCTCTTGCCTAGAAAACAGATATATGGTTATTTAGAATTTACACATTTATAAATATTAAACGTATATGCAAATTAATATGTGCCATATACTCAATGCAATGGTTATAGTATTCACAAAATATGTGGGTATACAAGGTTCTTAGTAAATAGTCAAAAATTATCAAGCATTTTTCTGTTCTTAGAAAAAATACAAATATTGTTTCCAAAATTACAGTACATGAATTAACAACTTCACATCAATCATGATACAGTAGTTATTTTGCACATCCATTACTTGCATAAATGCATCTCTAAAAAGATGTTGCAGCTGCATTTAGCGTGCTTTTTCTGCTTCATACCTAGATCTGTGTCTTGAATTTAATTTTAAGAACTTTTGCTCTCATCTGATCAATTTTATATTTTATTGCTCATTTGACATTGTCTTCTTTCATCAAATCTATTTAAACCAAGGTTTTTGTGGAGATTGACTGGCCCTAACATTCAAAAGTTATTTTGGCAGATATAATAATAGTGGATTATAATAAAACTGTTACAAAGATGATCTTAGATTGCATCAATGACACTCGTCATCGTAGTCCACAGGTTTGATAAAGAAACTATTGTATTATGACTCAGAAAGATATATGACAGGTGGCACATGTGGAGCAGTATGAAATCTCTTGCTGATTTGACTATATATTGTAAATTATGTACTTGTCAGTTGTTTTGTTCTTATGGATTGTTTTGTCAATAATTTGTTTTGTGTTCTTAGGATTGAAAATTTGTTTAAGGATCTCTGTTTGAGTACCGTATGTTATTTCCCTTTTAAAAATATGTGCTTCAAATAATTCAAACACACATATTATATCAATAACCCCCCCCCCACCTGAATGAAATCAACCTGTGAAAGTTTTAAGAAAAATATAACAAAAACCAATATTATAATGAAATTCTTGAATGTATATACTTACATGGATATTTGATAGCCATGGTTCTAGTTGGTCTATTCCTTCTTCTCCCAGTGTCAGATCCCATACCACCATGTACAGTGTATTGGGTGTCAGGAAACATTGGTGTATGACATAATACTCTGGCTGACCAGCAAGGTCATATGTAGAGAAATACACATCAGGACCAACATTCTAGAAAGAGTCAACATACTTTGAATGTATAATCTAAATTACAATAAAAATTATACATATAAAGTAGAATTAAATACCGCAAAATTACGGCATGCTGTAACTTATGACGATACGGTGACAGATGTATAATAATTATATAATATCTATTATGTTTGTATCAGTAATATGGAACCATATTTATGATATCGTGACTAGCCTTATGTCATGATGACATTATGGCAGTATGCAAATAAATGGAATTTGTCACATGTTACAAGATCTTACTAAAACTAAAACCATAGATTATGGTATAGTGGATGAAAATTTTGACAATGTGCACAGATGGATAAAAAAAATTTCAACCCCAAGTGAGTTACTTTGCTGTAATTTTTGTTGAATCACAAGGAAAATTATGACTTGTTGAGTTATTTCATTACCACAACATACATGCAGTTATAAATACATTAACCTAGTTTTTGTTTGAGGCACAGCTAACGACATACAATTCAAATTTTACTTTCTGAGATGTCACCTGTTCATGTAAACTGGAAGTCTTGAAAGTCATGTATATGTGATTAATGTCCATTGAGACTTGAATCAAGGGTCCTCATAACAGGGCTTCACACTAATTCTAAGACATCCAGAAATGTTTTTATTAATGATTGAATGTTTGCTTCTCGACATAGTTAACAAAAGGCCAAAGGCAAAATTACAAAAAAATAATCCGTAAGTAATACAGTCATGCAGACTGTTATAGCAGCCCGAAAAAGTTTTATCGCGTCCTAGTATAAAGTTACTCGTCATGGAAAAGTGGACGAACACTGCCCCAACCATATTCAGCTGCCTTCTGTATTACCTAAACATTCGGCTCTATTAACTAACTTCCATTTTTACCTTAACTCTAAGAAATCCCAATGATCCACCTTTACTTGGATCTGAGAGTAGCCACTCATCAATGTGTACTCCAGTTATCTCTTCATCTCTTGGCGGTGGTTCACCTTTCAGTGCTGCTAATAATGTAGTCTTCCCTTGACCCTGAATAGCAATCAATTAACAAACAATCACACACAGGTTCAAAGAATTATATTCATGTCAACAGACGGCGCTACATCCTTTCTTATTGATATAAGTTTCATTTCTTCGATATATATATGAATACTTCATGTAACTCAGCAGTTCCATATTCATTCATTCTTTCTTTAATTTTTTCATTCATTCATTCATTCATTCATTCATTAATATGATCAACAGGCAAAGAACTCAGTTAACGTTCTTGATTGTGGAACATCCAGGTACCTTACAATGATCGAACAACTAAACAGTCATATTCTCGTAAAAAAATTCAGACAACATTTATAATCAATATAAACAAATTACCTGTTCATTTACTTTAATTTGAAAACATAACGTTACCGCACAGTAAAGTAAATTTGCCACTGACATTTCACCAGTGGGTTTGACTTTCACAGCAAAATTGAAATGTGCAATGTCGGTTAGATTTTGAACGTTCACTGTTTTGGAAATACTCATTAGTAGACACCCTTCTTCTAAACTTAATACCGTATATTTGGTGATCGAGGTAGAATGTAGTTTGTACTGCATAAGTGAGCTATCCACTGATAGGAATGAACCCACAACGAACCTGATATGAGTTGAGCACGCTATAAACCACTGCAAGCACACCCATGTTTTATATTGTGATCAGCTTACCTGTAATCCTACTACCATCAGTTTCATTCTATTGCATGGTTCAGATTTCCTGAGCTGTGCCTTCAGATGAGCACAGATATCAGAAACCCTTACTCCCTCCGTGCCTGGCTGTAATGTATCTGGCAAGTTTGTTATATTTAAACCGTGCAATTGCATATTCCAACATCTTTTTAAGTTTCCAAGCTCTAATGGTAAGTATGTAATGCCTGCATTGCTAAAAGAGGGAGAAATAAATATGAGACTGGCATTAATTGTCATGCAACAGACCAGTTCCTAGTGCTATGGTCGGTGTGCTCACTGCAGGCACGTACGTACCTTGAAGTGTTGACCCTTTGAATAAAAGTCAACTTTTAACTGTGACCAAAATGAATCGCCTATTATTTTTCCAAAATAGTCAAAGAAAAATAACACATGCTGCAGCTTCTGATGCTAAAAATATGTAAATAGATTTTTACTCTCTTTCATCTTTAATGAAATTTTGATTTTACTAAAGAAGGTTTTATTTTTGACAGTTAAATCAATAAAAAATTTTCCTCATCTTCAAGTAAATTTTTGTTTGGCATATTCTCTCTTTTTTGTTTGAGTTTTTGGCTTTGTGTGTCTACTTTTTTCTAAATTTTGTATACCATTTTTTTCTCGCAATCTAGAATAAACAGACCATGGCTGAAACTTATTTATTGAATCAATACGATTCACCCAAATCAGCTAAAACTAAAGTAAGTGATAGAAAGTCATACTTGCTGAGGTTCAACATTCTCAAGGATTCCATTTTACACACCATCTTTGGTACAGATCTGAGTCTATTATTATCAAGTGATAAAGAATCCAGACTAGTGAAGAACTGTGACGGGAATTCAATACTCGTTTCACCTTCGTAATCCTCGGAATGCCACGTAGTGCTTGATTTGGACCCAAGTCTGATACGTGGAAAGGAAAACCTTTTCTTGTTGCTAGGACTTGAACTACTGCTGGAAGAACTTAGACTACAGCCAGGTGAACTATAAAGAAATTTGATTAAAACAAGATCATTCACATATTAATGCATGGATTGAATTCTCCACATTAAATTTATTAAATCAATTTATGACACAAACACAGATAGGTACACATGAAAAATAAAGTTTATTACTTTGGCAAAACAGGGAGGCACACAACGAAATCCATTGGCTTACAAGAATTATACCAGGATGGGCATGTCATGAGCCCCCACCATGTGAACGCAAGAACTCTGAAATAATACACAACTCAAAAATCTGTGTTAGTAATGAAGCTTCAGCCGCTGGAGCTGTAGTGTAATGAGAAATTGCAGCGTGACTGCAATTTGAGGTATAGGCAGCGAAAGCTGCGGCTATACTGTGGAGGAGCAGCGTTGGCTGCAAGAAGTTAGTAGTTATGGTAGATGCAGCATGGCTGCGAACTACCAAAGTTAGCTGTTTGAAGCAGCATGACTGCAAATGGATGGTTAATGAGGTATTAATAAAATACATAAATCTCCATCTAGATAAAAGTACAACTATAGATAACAGTATAACTAAGTAAAAATATTATCTTGGGGGGATATGAGCCCCATGAAACTATGGCGAAAAATTCCCCAGCAGTTTTTGTGTGTCATTTTGACAATGGTTTTATTTGTACAATTTGGCTACCTGAAAAGACATAGAGTTTTATAGATTAGTGGTATACTTTATGAAATGTGAAAAGTATGAATATAAAATAAAATATGAAAAGTGAAAAATATGAAAATAAATTATTACGGTTTGAGTGAGTGAAGTTTGGCTTTAGCTTTGGCATTCAAGGGGTAAAAATCAAATCTTAAAGGTCAAAATGTTAAAAGTTATTAGATTAAAACTACCGGTAGAAGAGCTAAAAACCATTGTTGCCTTACTAATGAAGTCGTACTTTAATGATTCAGCAAGCAATATGGTATATGTGTACTTGTATTATAAAATACCTTTTGTACTTACCCAGATGTTAACTCAATACATGCAGGGTCTGGTCCATTGGCCAACTTGTTGAATGAAAGCACTAGTTTTCTGAGATCAGTATTCTCATTCCAGTACGTCGGGTCTGGCAACCGATCAATCCGATTATAAGCAAGTAATAAATCCCTAAGACGCACAAGTTGACAGACACCCCAACGTATCTCTTGTAGCTTGTTATTTGAAAGGTCTAGTATTCTGAGTGAATTTGACCAATACACATTGATGTCATTAGGAATGGTTGTAATTTTGTTGTTTGAAGCATCTAGTGTTTCCTGTGCAAAAGAGTAAAAAACAAAAATTTTTTGTGTTATTTGGCAATCAAAAGGTACAATCAAATTTAAAATGAAAAACTACAAAGTTTTAATATAGTAATTGTCAAAATACAATCACTATACTATATTTGTTTAAAAAAAAAAACATTTCTTGGTAAATGTTATTGATTGTGATTACCAACATTTTTTTTTTAAAATTTTTATCCCAAAATCAGCGTCCAAAAAAAAAAAAGTATGAGTGAAATATGCTAAAATTTTAGGTAATATTTTGATAATTGTTTTCCCACCTAAAATGTTGTTATAATATTTTGAATAATTTTTAATTTCTAACAGAACTTATGTAGATTAATTTTGTGAATGACAAAAACTTTTTGTTATAGATAACCTATTAAGTCTTGGTGATTCTAAAAATGAAATTACTAGAATGAGTACAAAGATTTATACTGTGTGGGAAACACATATTAATCTGAGAAAAATTACAAAATTTGTAATTTTTTTCCTTTAAACTGGGTTCCGAAATTGCCATCTAATTAGGAAAACTTGATGCAGCAAAATTGTTTTAATTTACATATTCAATTGATGGACTTAATTAACTTACCAATGGACATGACCATAGTCTGGGGAATGTCTTCAGTTTATTATTAGAGACATTCAGACTCTCAAGTTTGTTAGCTGCTCGCAGATAACGTGGTAGCTTATATAGCGCGTTGTATGAAACATCAAGATGTACCAATCCTGAGCAATTCCATGTGTCAGTGTTTTCTTCAGAGAAAGAATCTAAATAAACAGTGTTGACTTTAGGTTAATTATACCATCACCTCATGAATATTCATGAGGCAATAGCAATGGAATCAGCCAACATCATGAATATTCATGATCATGATTATGTCACCATCACCTCATGAATATTCATGATGTTGGTTGATCCCCTCACTATCACTTCATGAATATTCATGGTGTTGTTTGATTCCATCACTATAACCTTATGAATATTCATGGGGTTGTTTGATTCCATCACAATCACTTCATGAATATTCATGATCATGATTATGTCATTATCACTACATGAATATTCATGAGGCTGGTTGATTATGTCACTATCACATCATGAATATTCATTAGGTTGTTTAATTCAGATTAACAAAGTCAGCTGTATAGCAGTAGCATTTGATTTTTATGTAAACAAAAAACAGTGTAATTTAACTCATTTAACACATTGTATGGAACTCATAGCTAATCTGACAGGTCATGATGACTGTTACATTTTAATAATGATTAAAATAACTTTAAAATAGAATTGTTTTTTTAGTGAAACAAATAAATCTTATAAATCTGTTTATTCACTATTATCACAACCTGCGTTCATAAACAAACCAAATATCCCTCACCTGAAAGTGCAGAATCTGATGAGACAGTACTATCATGGAGGCTATTTCCTTCCCCCAGTGATGTGAGAATGTTATTAGAAAGATTTAGTCTTTCCAAACTGGGCAGTTGAAACAGAGCAATGGGCACTGAATGCAATAAATTGTGGGATACATTCAACTCTTTCAACCTATACAAGAAAATAAAATATAATTGAGTATTTACTAAATATGTGATGAATATCCCTTTTGCACATGTTGGTTGATGCACTTGCCCCAAACAAATTTATTTCTGATCAATGGCATCACAAAATACAATGGCATCACATAATGCAATGACATCACATAATGCAATGGTATCACATAATGCAATGGCATCACAAAATGCAATGGCATCGCAAAATGCAATGGCATCGCAAAATGCAATGGCATCGCAAAATGCAATGGCATCACATAATGCAATGGTATCACATAATGCAATGACATCACATAATGCAATGGCATCACATAATGCAATGGCATCACAAAATGCAATAGCATCACAAAATGCAA